AGACCGCGCTTTCAACTCTTTTCTTACCAAATAAACTTTTATTTTACATATTTGTTCTTTTGTATTCCTCCTCCACCTGCCTACTCGGTTTCAATAAATTCCAAAAAGAAAAAATCTTTGCATCAATTTAAGAAGAGGAACAAGAACAAGAAACTCACACTCTCTCTCTATCTCTAACCTTCTTTTTTTTCTCTCTCTAGAATCATTCATTCGTGTGGGTTGGATCATGGTAATGGGCGGCATGAGGCCGCGCTTCTTCTCTATAAAAGCCCCTCTCCTCTTCCCTAAAACACCAAATAATAGAAAAAGCATCTTTCTCTTGTCTTCTCCTTTCCTCGTCACAGCATTCTTCTGCTCTCCTCCCTTCATCTTCCCCAAAGCGAGACCTTTTCTTTCAGAACAGAGCAACAGCTTCACCACCATCATGTCGAGAGCTTCAGCCGATCGAATCGCTGAGAATTACGAAACTCCAGAGCTTCAAAAACCGAGGCATGTGGTGAAAAAGGTATTGGCCAAGCAACAGCAGGAAGGCGATGGCGCCAAAGTTCGACGAAGCATTGGAAGGTGTTTCTCCTGTTTTTATTCTCTGTGCTGTTACTTTCCAAGAGTTTTTATTAATTGAATTTTCTCTATTTTTTTTGTTTCGCAGGCCAGAGTTGAGAAATTTTGATCCTTTTCTTCTCCTGGATGAGTTCTCGGGTACATTTTTGTTTTCCTGGTCTGTTTTCTCTGTTTTTAGAAATTGGTAACTGAATGATTTGGCAAACTTGCAGTTTCTCGCCCTGCTGGATTTCCAGATCACCCTCACAGAGGTCAGGAATGCATATAAAAATGAATCTTTAATTCATTATTTTAAAAATTCTGTTTCACTAAATAGAATCTATCTTCTCTGTTCTTAATCTTCTTCCTCAAGGTTTCGAGACTGTAACATACATGCTTGAGGTACGTACATTAATTTCGCTCAAGTAATCAATCAAATCTCTTCAAAAAAAGAAGCTAATGTTTTGTTCCTCTATTTAATGTCAGGGAGCCTTCACCCACCAGGACTTTTCAGGCCACAAGGGAACCATCAGTGCCGGCGATCTCCAGGTCAGTTTTTCACTTCTTCCTCTTCCGTTTCTCTACAAAACAAAGGAAAAAAAAGGAGCAATTTTTTCATCAAAAAATCAAATTACATACAACTCCTGACCCAAACTTTCTTTCACCAGTGGATGACCGCCGGCAGGGGAATAGTCCACTCAGAAATGCCCGCCGGCGATGGAGTTCAGAAAGGCCTCCAGCTTTGGATCAACCTCTCCTCCAAAGACAAAATGTATTCTTCTCAATCCTTAACCAAGTTGCAGTTCGATTCATTTTATCTGTAGATAACAATCTAATCTCGAAGGCAATGTTGCTCGTTTATTAATATTATCTATCAATTACATTTCACTTGTTCAATCTTATTTTATTCAAACAATATAATTTTATTTAAAAAAATTAACATTGACTACAATTATTATTTTTTGAGATTTATTATTTGAAAAGTTTTAACAGCCTAAATTCTACTTTTCAAACATCAATAGTATCCATCAAATACTTCAATCCTTGTATTATCAAGGAAGAAAGTTTAAGCAAAATAAGAACTTTAATATTATTTAGGAACATATACATCCATATATTTCAATTCTTATGTATTTACATATCTAACACAAACTTAAATTTTTACAAATATGGCGCCATAACAATGCATGAAAACATAAATTCGGACCAGGAGTAAACAGCCTAAACATGAAGCTTCCTCCAATCTGTACAGGGTGGAACCAAACTACCAAGAGCTGCAAAGCAAAGACATAACAAGAGTGAACAAGAATGGCGTCGACGTGCGCATCATAGCAGGGGAGGCCTTCGGCGTCAGCTCTCCAATATACACGAGAACTCCAACAATGTACCTGGATTTCACCATGAAGCCCGGCGCCGAGCTCCGGCAACTCATCCCACTTGAATGGAACGCCTTCGTATACATCATCGACGGTGATGGAGTGTTCGGCGACGAGGAAACCGCACCAGTTTCGAGCCACCATGTTCTCATTCTCGACAACGGAGATGGCCTCTGCGTCTGGAACAAGTCAGGGAGGCCGTTGCGCTTTGTGCTCGTCGGCGGGCAGCCGCC